TCTCTCTCTCTCAAATAAATAAATAAAATCTTAAAAAAAAAAAAAAGAAAGTGCAGAGATAGGTGGATAGCTTTGAGAGATACTCAGGAGCCAACTCTGGCAAGCTAACAGATTACTCTTCTAGGAGAGAGGGAGAAATGAGACTATGAGAAAGACTCAAGAATTTTGGCTTACGAGGTGAGGTGTGGGCCCTCTGGTCACGTATATTTTATGCCACACAGCGGGAAGACAGTTAGCGAGACCAACCACATTTGGATGCGGGGCAGTGGGTGGGCAAGCATGGTGCGGATAATGGGGACAGACGTTAGAAAGTCAATTCCCTTTGCAAGCTTGCCCCACACCTGGCATGTTTCCTCTTTTCCAGAGTTTGTTAACAGTACCTGTGTCTTTCCATTTCTGTATGCCGGCACCATCTACTACAACTGCATCTCCATCCACAGCGATTATGATTGGTGTTCACTCGACAAGAAATTCCAAGGCAGATGGCGGTACTGTACTGGGCAAGGTGAGCATCGCTATGATGGGCTGTCTTGGATGCCAAGGATCCAAGAAGCAACTGATAGTAGCTGACCAAGTGACTTTGGTGTTGGATATACCTGAGTCCGAATCCTGACTATTCTCCATGTGTTGACCACTTTGAAAAGAGTTGGGTGTGGTAGACAAAGCATGTGTTGTGAGTTTAGTGATGGTTGACCCTAAAACTTGCCATGTTCATATTTCCCCTTCTGCTCCTTCCTTTCTCTGCAGATCCCCCCAAGTGTACCTTCCCCTTCTTCTACAGAAGAAAACTCTTTCACAAATGCACCAAGGAGGGTTATGTTTTGAATCGGAGTTGGTGCTCACTGACAAAAAATTATAACCAAGATGGAAAATGGAAGCAATGCTCTCCTCATGAGTAAGTTGGCTGGGGAAGAAGGGTGTGTGTGTGTGTGTGTGTGTGTGTGTGTGTGTGTGTGTGTGTGTGGCAGGGGTCTCTTAAAGTGGGGAACCTTCTCGATTAATGGAAAGGGAAGCTTGGGGTCTACATTATCCAGTGATGGATTAGATTGGGGGTCAGCAAATGTTTCCTGTAAAGGGCCCATTCGTAAGTATTTTAGGCACATAGGTCTTACGGTCTCTCACATACTCAACTCTGCCCAGTAGTACAAAAGTAGCCACAGGCAATAAAAAACAAATGAACATGGCTGTGTTCCAATAAAACTTAACTTATAGACCCTGAAGTTTGAATGTCATATAATTTTCAGGTGTCACAAAGTAACAATCACCTTTTGACTTTCATTTTCAGTTAGGCACTTAAAAATAAGAAAACCAATATCTCAAGGGTCATAAAAACAGATGGCAGGTTGAATTTGGCCTCTGAGCTCTAGCTTGCTGGCCCCTGGATTGAATGATCTGTCCTTGACCCCATGAGGATGAAGAAACGAGGTCAGTTTCCACTGAAAAGAAGATGCGGGAAGAAGAGCCTGGTCAACAGACCACGGAGAGCTCACTCATCTCTGTGCTCTTGAATTATAGTGAGGATTTTATTGAGTGTACAATGGTGTCTCAGTCAACCTTCACGATGACCTCAGGGAATGATTATAGGTGTCATTATGCCCACAGAGAAATGAGGAAACAAGGGGCTCAAAGGGATAGGTTATACCCAAACTCAGTGTTAAATCCCATCATCTTTATGAGGTTTTGTGCAGAGAGCACTTACTAACCATCCCATTAAATGAGCCCTACGATAGGCTCAGTTATGAGCTTTCCACTCATTACGTCTCTCCCCACCAAAATTGCCTTTTTATGGATGTGGAAACAGACATCGAGAATATGCCCATCGAGATCATGACCTGAGCTGAAGGCAGACGCTTAACTGACTGAGCCACCCAGGCACCCCTGACTTTTATTTTTTAAACACTAATTTTGATTTACACAAGTGATTCATGAACAGATGCTCACTTAAACATTGAGGCAGTATGTGAATATGGGGAGTAAAACATCACCCCTCCCTGTCCCGCTCACATTGCCTCTTTGCTTCCTACTCTCTTCCACGGCGAGAAATCCAACCAGCTGCTCAGGATATGTTCTTCCGGGTTTATTCCATGCATTTACACAAGGATAACAATTTTAAGGTCCTTTAAAACATGAATGAATAATACTATCCCTTTTGTTCTGTGACTTGATCTTCATTTAAATATACACATTATGGTGATTTTTCCACCTGAATTCATAAACCTACCTCACTTTTCTTCATGCTTTCACCAAATTCAAAATACAGATATACTATTCTATGAAAGTATAACCTGCTTGTCTTTAATGGGTACTTTCTACATTGATTTTTAAGTGAGTGTGTGAGGGTTGGCTTTTTAAAATTTATTAGAATAGCTGAATGGAATCACTGGGTCAAAGGGTATGTACATCTCAAGTGTGGGTGTTACATTTTAGGTTATTCCAAATTATCCTCCTTCAGCTTTATCGGCCTGCCTATTTTTAACTTTCTTAACACTGAAAATTACCAATTTAGTAAATTTGTTCAAATAAGAGACTATGTAACTTGTGTTAAATAATCAAGAAATCAAAATGATCAATAGTGGCGTATTGAATTTGAGAGTGAAAGAGAAAGCCTTAAACCTTCCTATGGCCACTGATCAATGCACCTGTCGTTCTCCTGCTCTACTTACTCATGCTAGTTAGTTCTGAGGGGTAGACCAGATCTCCAGTTGGAGAGGAAACTGATCATCCTGTCTTGGAGGGTGACAGACCGTGATACTATCCTAACCTCTGTTTTTCTTCCACAGTCTTTAAATAAGTCTCGGTGTCCTTGAAGAGACAGAAGTTATAGGATTCATCAGCCGCCTCTCAGAATATATCGTTTCCCTGATTATTGTGACAATAAAGATTTGGCGTCTCTTCCCTGTGGATGACTCCTTTCGTTGAAAAAAGGCACAGCCAATGCTTAATGGTAATCATTGCAAGGCTGACCGCGGTGGGGTGGGGAATCAGTAGGACATTTGTGGGGAAGAGCTTGCATTCAAATCAAGATCCTGGTGAATTGCTAACTGTATAAACTTTGCTGAGTTAAGTACGTTCTCAGAGACTCAAGCTTCCCCTCATGCAATTTTTAAATGAAAGTATAATACACACTTTTAATTTTTTTGAGGTAAAATTTATGACATAGAATTACCCATTGTAATGTGAACAATTCAGGAAGAAAACCCCATACCCATTAAGCAGACAGTCCCCCCTCACCCCTCCTCCAGCCCCTGGCCATCACTCATCTTCTGTCTGTGGCTATGGATTGGCCCATTCCGGATGTTTCATATAAGTGGAATCATACAGTATGTGACCTTTTGTGTCTGGCTTCCTTCACTTAGAGTAATTTTTTTTTTTTGAAGTGAACATAACCTCAAGATTTTATTGCCTTCATAATATAACAAAATATGAAGCTTAGAACTGGATCACTTGGCCCTTTCTCTTCTTAGCTCCTCCCAGTTCAAAATGCTTGCATCTCTTAATAGCCAGCATTCTCTTAAATCTGCAATTGGGCTGAACACATTCAAGCCTCAGCACAATCTTCTTTGTAGATTTAGCCTTTTTCCAGAAAATCGGCTTAGTCTGCCCACCATAGCCACTCTGCTTCCATAACGTCATAACGCCACTTTCCCTAGCATAAAGAGAATCTTTGCCTTTCTTGTATTGTGTCACTTTGTGGGGTAGGTGCTTGTCACACTTCTTGCAGAAGAGTTCGGCGGGTTTAGGAACGTTCACTGTGTTTGCGAGAGGGCTACCGGCACAGAAAGCTAGAATGATGTTTTTGAGGTTCATCCACTTTGTAGCACATTTCTTTTTTATGGCCAAGTAATAGTCCATTCTATGGATATACCACACTTCATTTAGCCATTAATATGTATATTTTATAAAGACATAGGTGATGTATGTAGAGACAAGTGAATTTTCACAAACTAAACAGTCCATGTAACTGACAACCAGACTAAGAAACAGATCATTTCTGGGGCACCTGGGTGGCTCAGCTGTTTAAGCGTCTGCCTTGGGCTCAGGTCATGATCCCGGGGTCCTGAGATCGAGTCCCGCATTGGGCTGCTTGCTCAGCACGGAGCCTGCTTCTCCTTCTCCCTCTGCTGCTCCCCCTGCTTGTGCTCTCTCTCTCTCTCTCTGACAAAATATTTTTAAAAATAATAAAAGTAAATAAAACCACACTGACACACTGGGTGAGTGCTATAACAAAACACCCAAGACAGGGTGGCTTATAAACAACAGAACAACAGAAGTTTATTTCTCACAGTGCAGGAGGCTGGAGGTCTGAGATCAAGGCACCAGCATGATCCGGTGAGGGCCCTCTTTTGGGGGAGGGGGAGGGGCAAGACTTCTGCTTGTCTCTGAACAGGGCGGAAGAAGGGGAGCTAGCTCTCTGGGGCCTCTCTTATAAGAGCCCACTCCTAATCAATCCATCCACCCCCCTGACCTAATCACCTCCCAAAGGCCCCGCACCTCCCAATACCATCACTGTGGGCATTAGGTTTTCTAGATAAGAATTTGAAAGGGGCACAAACCTCAAGCCATAGCACCAGCAGAAATGCAAAATGGAAAGCAAGCAGCCTCTTACCAAGTTTCCTGCTCACCGTAAGTTCAGTGTCATATTCTGTGTCTGGCTCCCTTGACTCATCACACTCCTGAGATTCGAGCTCATGTAACAGTATTTCATTGGGCGAATACACCAAAACTTATTTTATCCATTTTATTCCTGATGGGCATTTGGGAAGTTGCTAGCTTGGGTTTACAATCCTTAATGCACCTTGGACTATATCTTTCTGTACGTGTCTTGGTGCACCCCGTTTCTGACGGGTATACACCAAGGACTGGGAGCATCTGTCCCATCCAGCCCAAGGTCCAGGCTCAGAAAAGCGGTGTGTGGGTGTCCCCTGGTGGCCTCAGGATGTCACAACAGGTATGTGCACACCCCGTTTCTGTCCCCCCAGGGTGGCCCTGAATGAACCCCATCTTTGATCTGACCTGTGTCTCTCGGCACGTTGTTTGCTGTAACAACAATATTAAAGGTACACTAGTTTAGAGGTATTTCCTGTTAGGCACTTATTTAGAGAAACTTCAAGTAAAGAGTAAAAAAAAATGGTTGGTGTTTTGGTTTTTTTTTTTTTACAAGCAAAGTCACTAGTGGATACCATGTTCGCTTACCATAAAAAACAACTACCTTTAAAAACCTGTATTTTTGTGGCACTTGATTTTTTTTAGATGGATTTTAGCAAAAGGGACAATCAGATACAGCAATTCTGAATTTTCTTTTAGTGCTCGCTTCGGCAGCACATATACTAAAATTGAATTTTCTTTTAGTAAAGTAAAATCTGGTATGGTCTTAATAATGACAGCAATATTCAACTCCCTGAGTCCAACTACTCCTCAACAGAGATTTGGATTTTTTTTTTTTTTTTGAGAGAGAAAGGGAGAGAGAGACAGCATGAGCTGGAGAGAGAGCATGAGCCGGGGAGAGAGGCAGAAGAGGGAGAAGCAGATTCCCTGCTGAGCAGGGAGCCTGACTCCAGGCTCCATCCCAGGACCCTGGGATCATGACCTGAGCGGAAGGAAGATGCTTAACCGTCTGAGCCACCCAGGCGCCCTCCTCAGCAGAGATTTGACTGAGAACAGATCTCAAGCTTTGCACATTAGACTCCCGGTGCCCGGGTCCTACCCCCAGAGACACTGCTTAATTGGCCGGGACTATGAGAATATTAAAACCCCCAGGTGGCCCTAATGGGTGGCAAAGTTTGAGACCCATGATTTAGAACAGCGGTTCTCAAATGGTAGTACCCAGCCCAGCAGCGTGAGCATCACTTGGGAACTGAGAAATGCAGAGTCTCAGGCCCCACCCCCATGTACTGGAGCCAAACCAGGGATCTGGACTGAAAGGGGGTGTCCAACTGGAGCGGCCTCCCTGAGATGAGCGCCCTGCAGGGACCTGAGAGACTCCGGCAGACCTGGAGCTGGAGGGAGCTAGGTTCCTTGGCAGGTTGGATAGAGGGCTCCCGTGATCAGGTGAGGAATCGAATGCCCCACCTTCCCTCTGGCCAGGTGGAGGAACCAGCACACCTGGGTCTCAGGCGATGATTGTGTCCAACTCATACAATGCTCCATCCTCTGCACCAGAGGAGACTCAAAGACTCAGTTTGTCACTCCTAGGGAATGAGTTCCCTCTTCCATTTTCTCCAAGAAGTTGAGACTAGAAACTGTGATCATTCCTCCAGCCGCCTGGACAATGGCTGTGTTCTTTGCATCCTTTCCACTCTTTCTTCCTCCAGGATAATGGAACATCTTGTGTCCCTGGGGCCGAATCTATCCCATGCCATTCCCTGGATATCTCAAAATGGGTTTCCTCTGCGCCTGCTGATTCAGAGAGCCCGTCTGTCCCTTCTGGCAAGTGGCCCCTCACTTTTGGTCTCACCGGGGGTTTCTGCTTGACTTCCTTCTCCCCTCTCCCCACTCCCCACCAGGTAAGCACACTTCTCCCTGCACCACCTCCATCTCCAACCCAGAGCACCCAGAGCAGAATTGAGCTTCTTGAACTCAGCCCATTTGTGGAAGGTGCAAACAATGGACTCTTCGTATATCAGGATTTCTTATCCTCCACACACTGCAGCTGAGTCTGAAAGCTTCACCTTCTCCAGAGTAAAACACAGTAGATTCTTACCTCTACCACTGATGCCATGGATGCCAATGGACCTAAAAGGATCACTGTGAAAACCACCAAAGAGGGAGCACTCTGGATCATAGGGATCACCATGGGTCCCACCAGATCAACAGTGTCGGCTGGCCACGTGATTGGACGATCCACGGTGCCATCATTTTTAAATTTTTATTTATTTATTTAGCTACAAGTTGGAAAACAGAGAAATTCTTGCTCTGGGGCTACCTTGAGGGATAGATATAGGGAAGTCCCAAGACCAGCCTTTTTGAGAAGTTACCATCCACTCCCCCCCCCCAACCCCGCCTCCTTCCTGAGCTGAGTGGAAGGCCCAGATGCTTCCCTTGGGGATGGTCCGGACACAGCCCAGGAAAGTTTCCTGGGGGATAACAAAAGTTCTTGGATTCAGCGGGGGGCAGGGGGGCTGGGGCTGCTTAGGTAAAAGGTGAAATGTAATTGGAAAGGTGGGAAGGGAGGGATCTGTGCTACTTAATGCACTCACTTCCTGCGCAGCCAGTCAGGGCAAAAGCAAACTGTCTCCAATGTTACAAAATCCATCCATTTGCCATTCGGTGGTGGCCGCTGGGTGCCTGGGGGTTCCCAGGGTCACCAGCCTCCCTCCCCCTGCCCAGGGTATGAGTCTGAATCTCATCTAACCCCCTACCCCTCCACCCCTCAAAAGCCCTCAGGGATTCTCCCTGTCTCAGCTCCGTCTCCTGGGATAGATGCAAAATTAGATTTCTCCCAGGGACAACTGAGGTGGGGTTTCGGTGGTTTGTGTGTACATCCTTACCAGGGTCTGTCAGATAAGGAGGGGCTTTCAGTACATCCTGACAGTGTCTCCACATCCCCATACCACACACACACACACACACACACACACACACACACCCGCCTGGAGAGCGGATCACATGAGTGTCCCTCCCCCAAATCTGATCTAATTCTCTCTCTGCTCTGCTGAGGCTGGCCTGGCTTAAGAGGATTGGAGCATTTGCCAAATGGGACCAGGACAGGGTCAGAGAAACAGCTGTGGGGAGACCCAGGAGACAGGAGGGCCACAGGGGGTAGCAGAAGTTGGGGAGGGGGAGACAAAGGGGCCGAGAGAAGGGGTGAGGGGTTCTCCTGGAGGGGTGGTTGAGAATGTCAAAGAAAGGCATAACTCTAGCTGACTCTTCAGGAGAAAGTGTTTACAAGAGGACCATGAACTTTATTACAAAGTTATCAATCCCCCAAACAAGGTCCAGGTTAAGTCATTAGAATTAAAAGCATTGAACCAGGTTCCTGGATACAAAGTAAATATATCAGCTGAATCCTACATACAGGACAAACAGATTGGAAAAATAAAATTTTCACTTATCATCTAAAAAGTCAGGCACAAGAGATAAAATACTACAACTAAAGGGGCGCCTGGGTGGCTCAGTCGGTTGGGTGTCTGCCTTCGGCTCAGGTCATGATCCTGGGGTCCTGGGATCGAGCCCCCTGTCCGGCTCACTGCTCAGCGGGAAGCCTGCTTCTCCCTCTGCCTG